CTAGAATGGCTGCTCCTGCATCCCCTTCAGGGAAACATTATTCCTAATAAAACTCTTTAATAAATTCTTCAGGTCTTTGGAGAGTTCCTTAAACCTGAAAGGAAACACTGTCTATACCCAGGAGCAAAAAAGGCCATTACAGCTTGTAGTGGAAGATTTAATAGGTGTCATAATTTATCATGTAAACCGAAAAGTGTTTCTTAATTAAGTGCACGCGTTAATGAATTTTTTAATTTGATCCCTGTAAGTACTTTGCCATGCTAATTGCAATATTCCACACATTAGTTATCGGCTATTGCCCTTGGCTATTTGCTGTCACGAGGAAGGGACCCCGTCTTCCCCTCAGCTTAAGTCCATTATGAGCACGAGCCTCCAGCCCAAACTACAGAGGCCGTAGTGTGAAGGAGTACATGCGTGTGTGGGTCTTCTGGTCCACAAACAAAAGTTGAGCCACAGCTATCTGATTCTATTCACACAGACACAACTGGGCAATTTGAATTTACTGATGTAAACTGTTTAGCATTGATTACGCATAATCAGTTTTCTGTAGTTTGAGCATCTGCTAGCTCATAACATGTCCCAGCATCTTAGACAAAAACTGTACATGAGAGTAATCAGTGAGTGAGCTATTTAAAATGACTAATGCGAGTCGAGCTTAGTCTTGATGACTGCCTTTGTATCCAAAGTCTCACTATCACTGGTGGCAGGCTCATATTGTTCAGCGCAATTAATCTGTTTGAGAAGCATAATAATGGAGATGCCAACTGCTGCCTGTGCTACTATTTTATTAATCAACTGCAATTAGGCACTGCCGCTATGTCCTTAGGATGACTTTTCGTTTACTTGCAGGGGAAAGCAGTGCGCCAACACGACAGTGCGCTCAGTCAGAGCTGCTGTTCGCTGCTACAGAGATCACAGATGGGCTCAGACATATATCAAGTAGTAACAATGTGGGGAAATTATCATCAGCCACTAACCAAACACTAGTGCGCTTTGGCTGTCAAGTTCGTCTGCATTACCAGTGACTTCAGCGAATAACAAATGCCATTACGAGGCCGACTTACTGTACTGTACACTCTGAAACTCCAGCTGGCTGCTCAGTGTTAGAAAGTAACTACTGCTGCCTGTGGGTGAAGCAGATCCAGATGCTACTGCAGTTTATTACTGCACAACGGTTTATAAACATGGTCGGATTATGAGATGAAGGAGCACTGGCCAGAGACACTTTAAAGACTCCCTGTACTTTTAAGCAACTGTTTAAAAGATCAGGTAGGTTATTGCGCCACCTCAATTGTGTGTTGATCGAGGTGCAGTGGGGGTGAAAATAGCATATAAGGTCAGACACAGCTTCAGTTAAAAGTCAGAAGCTCATGCACAGTTCCAAAGTCTGCAGTGACATGAAATCATATAGGAGAGAACTCATCCAGTTGAGCTTGTGGCAAACAGCAATCAATGTTCAGTTCATGTAAACGTTACTCAAACTAAACTAATGCAGTAATTTAATTATTTCCTACTGCACACTAGATCAGACCTAAGCGTCCAAACTCACAGAGTAATATTCTACACAGTGGTGCAGAGTTTCTCCTCCCTTCAACACCCCTGCAGTACATTCACGGTTAAGATGGATTTGCTAGGCCCTTTAATTTACCCACAGCCAAAGAACACAAGGCCATTAACACAAATTTTATCCTCAGACTCCACCCCTTTGTGTCATGACATTCAAGCTTAATAGAGAACTCCACAAAGGCGAACGCTTCCCCATAAATGTTTCATGAAGTAATTCCACCCATATGAAGAAACTCAGAAAAAAATCTGCTGACATTATCCCACCGATGTTGTCGGAGCATCTGCAGAGGAGATGTATTTAATATTCACAGGCCGTCTTACACTCTGACATTAGCTGAGGAAGATAATCCCTCAAAGATTAAATTAAATGTAGGCTGGGTTGTTTAGTGCTGCTATTGTTTTCATTAGTGCAAAAAGGAATTGTACTCAGTGCACATGATATTAAATCGTGCTTCTGGGCGCGTGCTTGATATCCACACTCCCCCAACCCTCTGATAAACCTAATGTCTTTCAGGGTCCATAATCTCCAAGCAGCAGGTTAGCATTATAGTTTTTAACTACACTTAGCGGTTACTAAATATGCATTTGTGGTATTAAAATAAATCTTCTGTTGAGATAAAAGCAGAAGGTGCACTACACTCCCTGGCTGCTTTGGACCATTCGCTCGTCTTTACATCATAGAGGGGAATGGAGGGTGACTGGATTGTGGCGATGATAATAATGGAACATTTTATTCAAGAAATCAGATGCTCTTTGTTGCAGAGGCTTTTTGGAGAAATGTCAACAGGTTGCAGGAAAGCAACATCTGTGAATGTTGATTAATTATAGTTTGACAGATGTTACTGAATGTCTGCAGGGTCTGGGATTTGAGAAAACAGTAGAATGTCTCATCTGATCCCGTTATCAACACTGAACAAGTCGGGTTATAAATAGACAACAAGCACAAGTGTGTTTTCCACTAGTTAGCATGGATCTTCGTAGATTTGTACTTTTATGCATAATGCATACACAGTATACTGCATTACTTCAATAATGGAGAACTAGAGTGAACATTAAATGGTGTGATTGTTAACCAAAAAGTATGGCATGTCAAAGGAAAACATGCAGAAGGATAACAGATGACAGACAGAGTGCAGGCTTTTTGCCATCTCAACATCCAAAACACATTGGTATTAAAGATCTTGAATTGTGTGTTGATCGAGGTGCAGTGGGGGTGAAAATAGCATATAAGGTCAGACACAGCTTCAGTTAAAAGTCAGAAGCTCATGCACAGTTCCAAAGTCTGCAGTGACATGAAATCATATAGGAGAGAACTCATCCAGTTGAGCTTGTGGCAAACAGCAATCAATGTTCAGTTCATGTAAACGTTACTCAAACTAAACTAATGCAGTAATTTAATTATTTCCTACTGCACACTAGATCAGACCTAAGCGTCCAAACTCACAGAGTAATATTCTACACAGTGGTGCAGAGTTTCTCCTCCCTTCAACACCCCTGCAGTACATTCACGGTTAAGATGGATTTGCTAGGCCCTTTAATTTACCCACAGCCAAAGAACACAAGGCCATTAACACAAATTTTATCCTCAGACTCCACCCCTTTGTGTCATGACATTCAAGCTTAATAGAGAACTCCACAAAGGCGAACGCTTCCCCATAAATGTTTCATGAAGTAATTCCACCCATATGAAGAAACTCAGAAAAAAATCTGCTGACATTATCCCACCGATGTTGTCGGAGCATCTGCAGAGGAGATGTATTTAATATTCACAGGCCGTCTTACACTCTGACATTAGCTGAGGAAGATAATCCCTCAAAGATTAAATTAAATGTAGGCTGGGTTGTTTAGTGCTGCTATTGTTTTCATTAGTGCAAAAAGGAATTGTACTCAGTGCACATGATATTAAATCGTGCTTCTGGGCGCGTGCTTGATATCCACACTCCCCCAACCCTCTGATAAACCTAATGTCTTTCAGGGTCCATAATCTCCAAGCAGCAGGTTAGCATTATAGTTTTTAACTACACTTAGCGGTTACTAAATATGCATTTGTGGTATTAAAATAAATCTTCTGTTGAGATAAAAGCAGAAGGTGCACTACACTCCCTGGCTGCTTTGGACCATTCGCTCGTCTTTACATCATAGAGGGGAATGGAGGGTGACTGGATTGTGGCGATGATAATAATGGAACATTTTATTCAAGAAATCAGATGCTCTTTGTTGCAGAGGCTTTTTGGAGAAATGTCAACAGGTTGCAGGAAAGCAACATCTGTGAATGTTGATTAATTATAGTTTGACAGATGTTACTGAATGTCTGCAGGGTCTGGGATTTGAGAAAACAGTAGAATGTCTCATCTGATCCCGTTATCAACACTGAACAAGTCGGGTTATAAATAGACAACAAGCACAAGTGTGTTTTCCACTAGTTAGCATGGATCTTCGTAGATTTGTACTTTTATGCATAATGCATACACAGTATACTGCATTACTTCAATAATGGAGAACTAGAGTGAACATTAAATGGTGTGATTGTTAACCAAAAAGTATGGCATGTCAAAGGAAAACATGCAGAAGGATAACAGATGACAGACAGAGTGCAGGCTTTTTGCCATCTCAACATCCAAAACACATTGGTATTAAAGATCTTGAAGGACAAAATGAGTCTGACTTCATAAGAGTTCTTCCTATAACCAAAAGGGATTTTTAAAACACCACAAGAAACAATACCCAACACAGATTAGCATTATAATAACAGCCCAGAAACCATGTCCGCCCCCCGCCCATGCTCACAAAGGGGATCTCCTGGGGACACACAGTGCCTTGATTGACATCTGTGAGAAAGCTCCTGGTGCTGCACTGCAGACCAGCTTCAAGGTGACGTGCAGAGCTTTGATAGTTTGTCTCTAACTGGTCATGCTACCAAATTTACAGTAGAAGGAGCTACAGGAATCCAAGGACACTGTTTTAGTGTTCATTTAAAACTTTGACAGCAGTATATTCTCATGTTTTTGTCTTGGTTCCCACACAGGCCAGACATAAATTGAGATTAATCTAGTGATGCTGATGAGTAAGTGAAGAAATGGCTGAGACAAGTGACAAGCTAAAGTATGAGCACTGTACGCGCAGGGTAAATCATTCTGAATGGCTATCGTTCTTCTTAAATTTGATAGTGTATGTGATACTTTAGTATCGGGAACTTTATTATCTCTCCTAACTGAAAATGCAGAAACATTCTATTTCTGACTAAAATGAATGTTGCATAGTATTGTCACATTAAATTATTACTTAGCTGGCACAGTAACAATGGTTTCCTTTTAAAATCATGTGACCTTGAAAATTGAGGCCAAACTTCCGTGGCCCCTATTTCAGCCAAGTACAAAACGTGCTCCACTCACCTTGTTTTGTTTCTTATAGAGAACCATGCGTGTTAGACTCACCTGGGCCGGTCGACGCTTGGACCCCAAGTCCATCCCTGCACCAGGGTCAGCCTCTGCCACCAAAGGCAAGGCCAGACCCCACTGTCACTCTGCTGTGGCTGATCAAGCTGTTCCAACAACTGGAAGACATCACAAGTTAAACACTCATTATTTTAATTTGATGCTAATCATGTGTTAATGAGACTAATCCTCACAATGATTCAGGTAATTTGCTTAATGGCTGCCTAGAGTCCAGATTACAGCAATCAGTCACGATTGATAAGACGTCTGTTGCAGGGCAGGAGGGGAACTCTGTGGAGGAGAAGAAGACAGGGAACAGGTGAAGGCCAGCAGGCCTCCGGGACAGCAGAGACATGCTAGGTCAGCAGCCCTGTCACCTCTGAGCAGGTCACGGGGCTCCACATCAGGGGGAGAGCTGTTTTATATGTCCCCTCAATAACCACTCCACATGCCATTCACTGGTCCCACCAAGCTGGATGTGGAACATGATGGAAAAAACTCAGACCAGCCTCCTCCATTATTCATTACTATTATTTTCATATTTTGTTATCAGTGCAGTTGTTAAGCCTATGACCCAACTTTAAAAACTCCAAATGAGTCACAGCTCTTCTTTAATTGGCTGTTATACTTCATTGACTGTCATATTGCACCTGACGGGGTTTTACTTTTACAAACCAGGAAACAAGCCACTTTTACAAAAAACAAGTTAGCTATGAAAGCTAATTTTAACCACCAAACGTGAAACATTAAATACACTTTTATAAATATAAATGACTTTGCCTTCTTTCATACATTCTCTATCTGGAGCGTTCCTTAGCTGGCGAACCGTCTGTTATGACCACACACCGCGCCGACATTTCAAAGCTGAAGTATCGCGATACAATGTTTGGATGCCTGGCTTCACTGCATCACAAATCGCGTGACCACACCAAAAGCGGAACCATTACGTCATGTTCCGCCTTGTCCCGTCTACTTCTCAGTATTTAAAAAGGGTCATAGAATCTAGTTTAAAAGTGATCCGTTTTCACAACATTTTATATAAACCTTAAATATATTTTATTGGAAACTATTCTGATAATTGATTCGTTTTAAGTACCTTTTTGAGCAATCTGCCAAAATTTGATTGTTACAGCTTCTAAAATGGGAGAACTGGTTCTTTTTCTTGACTTGCATTATTTCACACCGGTGGTTTGGGACTTTTGCTTGGACTAAACAGGATGATCATGACGCCCTGGACTTGAGCAAATTTTTCACTAGCACTCCCAGGAATCATTTACTGTTTTCTGTTTTACAAACCAAAGGATTAATCAGTTCATCAAAACATAATCAGCAGATGAATCAATAATGAATCATCAAGCAAAAGGCAAAACATCAAAAAATAAATTGAATAATTAGGGCATATGGAAGGAACAACAGCTATGAAAAGTCCTGAGCAGTACAGCGCCAAGATGGCAGCACAAAATCATACAACAATGAAAAGAAAAAAAATGAAACTATGTCCTGTTAGAGTTACAGATGGATGCCTGGTGGGAGGACACATTGTGGCACATCAGTCCATCCTGAGAGGAGGAGTGAATGAACGAGCTCTCTGCTCCTGACAAATGGCTACAGCATAATGACCTGTGAGTGTTAACAAATATAAATGATTTTCTGTTGCATTTTTACTGTCGTCAAAACAAATGCTCATTAGCTTTTTATGAGGGATTGTGTGAATAATAAATAGATCCTAATTGCCCTCTATCACAAATGCAAATGTGTGAATTAAAAGCAACGGGTAATAAAACAGTAGAAGTACTGTTCCAGCCTGATATTTTTTGTACAGTTACTGAGTTATTGAGCAATTAATACCTTAAATTAAATTTTGTGTCCTCATGCTTTACATCATTACTGTAAGCATTGATTGAGCTTTAATTCTTTCTGTTCCTACCAAGCTCTAACCATTTTCATTGACTCTAATTATTCAAAATATTTTTCTAGCAGCTCAGAGTATTTAAAAGTTTGCAATTGCTCTGATCTTTGACTTCCTGATAATAATTATATATTTTAATGTTTTTAGTTTGAAGTACTTTTATATTGTAGGATATGGTTCGTATTACCATTGCTAACTCTGAGAGATGAGACAGTCCAAGTAACTTCAAAACAGTGCTGATTTATTCAAAGGATCACAGGTAAAATTAACATTACACGCTCAAGTATCTTGCACCTCCAACCTGCTCACAGGCAGATGTAAGATGAAAGACCCTGAACCCACCAGGCCTATACATTATATCCCCTCGGTTGGGCTAGCCCCATACTACACAGAAACGTCAACCGAGACCTCTAGTAACATGTCGTGATATTAAACATAAGAACATATTATGGCTAAGGCTACAGTTATACACGTCATAATAATAATATTAAACACCCTGTCTGCTGACAGTCATCAACTCTTCTCTCTAGTTATCCTTGACCAGATGTACCCTGTAGAAACTCATAAGCATGACTAAGCATTTAACAGTCTAACTAGACATCCTATCTCCACTAAACATTTCTAATACATAAAGTATCTATCCAATTTCTATCTGGCTAAAAATACCTAACAATTTCATGGGCTATGTGCCTAAACATTTATTTTTAAAAAATGTGGGTTATGATATTTAGACTCACCCTACACACTGTTCACCAAGCAAACAGTTCTGACTAATGCTGGTGCCCACAGTGGCAGGTAACAACTTTCACTCAAATCAAACATTTTTATTCATGTTAGCATATTTTAACACACAAATAAAAGCTGCCGGACAACAAGAAAACACTTCTGCAAAACCTTGTAAGTAAAAATCAAAACTAAAAAGGGAGAAGAGACAAAATCCTTCCCCAGTTTTGATTGCCAAAATGGGGCAGTTTTTAAACAGAACACAGTGTAAGCCTCACATGACGGCCAGGTGCCCCGCTGTAGTTAAACCGCCACTGCTGAGAGGCAGAAAGATGTCCCCCTAGAAATGATTCTCTTGTTGTGAGTCTGACACAGCTCCCTTCTCAGGTCTCTGCAGGAAATGCTCTGTAGCTTCTGCCTCTCTGATCACTGGCCTGATTATTAGGAGGCTGAATTGGAAATTTAATTGGATATGGTTACAATTACAAAGCCATGCTGTCCCTGGAGCAGCAAGTCTGACAAAGGTGGTGCTGACAAGGGAACAAGATAGCAGCAAGGAAAACATGTTTTGTCACACTACCCCCACGTTCTTCCAATAGACAGAGATGTGAGGTGTGTCAGATTGGTGTCTCCCAGAATGGAGCCGTTAAAACGGCCGGACTCCTCTGCAGCCATTGACCTCCCTGATGGTGTCTGCTGAATGGCCAATTTATCACAAACGGCCTGTGTGGGAGTTTGATTTCGATGAGTTTTGGACATTTGGAGTCAGGTTTTACTACCGGTGACTTTGGTGCTTGCTGACTTGGAAATTCTCACAATATGTCACCGTGCAGAAACAAGACTTTTCTTCAGTGAAACCTATCCATAGAACAAAGTGCTCTTTTCCACACACATCACACCTGGGAGCTACATAGTACAACCCAGAGTGAGTGCACCACTGAGCAGCTCCTTGGGAGCAGTTGTGTGCTGTGCTCACCATGGTGCTCATACAGTAGAGAGCCTCACCAGTATGCTAAGCAGGGCCTATGCGCTATGCATACTCTCCCCTTCTCTGCATCATTTTGTCCCCTCAACATTTCTTTATTTTTATCCCCATCAGCTGTCACCAAGGTAACAGCTACTCTTCCTGGGGTCCACACACAACAAAACATTTTAACACAAGTACAAAATCTCTCTAAAAGCTTTAAAGATTTGTCTTTACCATGTGTATATTTGATCCATCCACTCACATCTTCTACCCAGTAAACCTTCTCATTTGCTGACATGACCTGTCTCTGCAGCTGCAGCACCCCCTCAGGCCTCTGGAGGTTGAGGGAGCCCTCTTTTGGTCACAGCTTGTATTGCACCATCACAGTCAAATCTGTCCATCATATAATATAATCTCTGACATACTGTATGTAAGATCTGTGTTCTAGTTTTTTCCCTCACAAGCTAAAAAAAAAACTAAAGAGGATGGATTTGAAGGCCCCCAATAGTTAGATTTGGGGCAAGAAACAGGTGGAGACCTCTGGGTGACTGTGTCCCTGGCTTGTTTTCTATAGGATGCTAGAAAAGTAAAATGGCTTCAGAGGAAATTGTAAGACGTTCAGGTGGCCATATAAATTCTTCATTTTTCACAAGTATGCAAATTTTTGTCATGCCCCATTTTTGATTTTGATACTTTTTTGGAATTCATAGCATAAACAAACTTTTGGGAAAGTCTGCAACTCTAGTAATATTATGTCTATGCAATGTCTGTGAATATTAGGAAATAATTTTAAACAAGTGCATGTTTATTAAAACTGTTAATAGGGTCCCGTCCATGAACCACTCAATCCACGTGATAGTAATATCTACTTTTGTGGAATCAGCGTAGGGATAAGTACACAGCTAAACACATCATCTGCCACTGAAATGTGAAAGTACACGCAGAAATCATTTGTCATAAAAAATAAGGAAAATGAACCCTTTTAGTCAGTTGTTTGTTCCGAACTGTTGTACTATTCAATCAATATTTTTAAATGCAGCTCCAATGAATTCCGTGAAGCTGAGAGACAAAGGCTTTGATCCTCCTCTTTTACAATGCCATTAATAACATTACGTATATTATGTGTCACCTTCCATATGGGCAGAGAGAGAAGCTTCAGTCTCAGTGAGCATAACATGAGGCTGAAGCAGCAGTGTGAGTGTGCCTGCATGCTACTGTGTTTTACATGCACATGTATGCATGAGTGTGCATATGTATTATCAAGTGACCAAGCTCATGGTTAGTTAGCCATGTGTGTTGATTTCTCTTATTCCCCTCTGTTCTCCCAGTGTGCTCTCTCTCACCTGTCCCTCCCCCTCCTGCATTACTTGTTCTCTGTTGACAGGTTGCCAGGGTGATAAAAACAACGTTTTATTTCATGCTCAACATCACCACCATAGCTGCTCTGCATCAACAGGCCATCCATCAGAGAGCAAGACAAGTGAGGAGGATTCTCGAGCAGCCAGCCCTGCAACACATGAGGTGGGATGCAAAACAAATTGGGCCAAATATGGAGAGCGAGTGAGAACCACACACGTGCACTGGAAAGTCATGTTCTATTTAAGTGACTATTATTAGAGCAGGTCACCATCTGAAAGTATAGATATAGCAAAGGGGGAGTGGTGTGGTGATTCTGGATGGTTATGCTAAAAAGGCAAACATATTAGCACATGCTAATGCTAGCCTGTTAGCCTGACAGGCTAAAATCTACTATATGTCCTAGGATGAATTTTCAGCAAGACAGTCTCTTTGCCGTTCCTGTGTTCAGATCTGCAGAGCCATTTGGTGTCCCTCAGATTTTAACTGTAATCCATTAGGTGTTCAAAGATCTAATTCAACAATTCAACTGTGTCTTCTGTGAGACCCTCCCTGCTTGGTAGACTCCAGCATTTAACCTCCACCTTATTTATATTTCAATTAAAAATGACAGTTTCAGGACAAGTTAACCCAGATTATATCTGCTGTATGTCATCATGAGGATCTTTCTGTTAGGCTTGACAAAGCTCCTCCAGAGCCACATTTCTTAAAATTTCCATTTGGATTTGAAAAGTTTTTCCCTTGGGGAGCCAATCAGGAAGTGCTCTTATTCATATTTCATTTATTCTGAATTACTGCTGATATTAAAATGTATTCATTCATGAAAATTTTGCAGTGGACACAAAACACACCTAGAAACTCAAATATGTACAGTATATTGTTTCCCAAACAGTGTCTTTTGGGCATGGAGTCGGAGTGCAGCAGCAGCTGAGC